GTTTGGCAGTTGGGGACAGCTCATTCTGGGAACAAGATTAGCAAACAGTTCTTAAGATTTCAACAGTGTTTTGTTAAGCATATAGAGAAACGGAGTGACAAGTACCTATTTTATTAACCTTTCATAGCTAAGGTAGGGAATCAGACTAGGTGCCTGTGAACAGAGGAGTGGACATGAGAGAGTCAGGAACCACTGTGGTCAGACAAGAGGCTTGGACAATGAGATAAACACTGTGTGCAGTAAACTACTACACTGTGTAGTGTGGCAAGCTGCCTCTCTAAGCTTGTGGTATATACACACTATGGAGTATTATTCAGCCACATAAGACAGTGAAATCCTGTCATTTGAAGCAAAGTGTATGGAAGTGGAGGACATTATATTAAGTGAAATGGATAAGAAACAGAAAGACAAGTACTGAATGTTCTGTCTCATGAGTGGAGACTGAAGTTAAAGGAGAATATGGATGACGTGAATGAGAAAAAATGTGGTGTGGCCATGGAGGTGAGCGTGGAAAGGAGTGGTTAGATTTAATAAGTGCACACTCTGCTCATGTATAAAAATATCACACTGAAACCCATTAATATGTAAACTTTATATGTGTTAAATAAAAATCCACAACCATGTGATTTTAATTGAGGTTATTTATGGCTTTTGAGGCATTTGGATATTCTTCTCTATTTCCCCTTCAGTATGTTACCGGACCACTCTCACTTATAGGTTTGGTGGATGTTCTTCAATTGAAAGAATGAATTTTGAAACATTGGCATTTTCTCTACCTTTGCACTGAGTTCAGGAATGTTTATGGAATGGTAGTTCCAACTCAGACAATGTATTTGTAGCCAAGGCAACAGAGAAGGGAAGTGTTTCTTGCTTTGGCTTTTCACAGCACAGGAAGCATATAAAGAAGCATTGCCCAATTAGTGATGCAAATATCATTTGTTGTTTTGGGGAATATTTTATTATTCAGTAAAACTGTTTGCCTAGTTTGAATTCATAAACAGAACATTGCTAAATCTATAGAAATGTTAATATCCAAAACCATTTACATTTTGTTAGGAATGGATGAGGGCAGTTACTCTACTTGAAAATGTTTCAATAATGTATCAAAAACAGCATTAACAAACACCTTGGAACTGCTGGGCAGTTAACTTTTGTAGCAGGACAATTTAGGATTTTAAGATTTTATTTCTGAAAAAGGGAAAATAGTAGAGGCAAGGAACAAAAGGGGAAGGAGGCAGGGAGTGAAAGTAGAGATACTGAGGAATTAAATCAGTCAATTTATGCTGTGTGCATATAGAAAAGAATCACAATGAATCTCACTTTTATGTATAATTAAAATGAATCAACTTTAAAAAAATAATTAGAAGGGAGACTAGAGAGTACAGGAAAAAGATCAGAGGAAAGAAGGAGGGAAGGAAATAAAGGAGGAAACACTAAAAATAAAATGGAATGAATTGTCATGAGCCTGTTTGAATTTGCCACAGTGGACCCCACTGTCATGTACACTTCAATAAACATGAAATGAAAGACTTGGAATGTAGCTTAGTGGTAGGAGGCCTTATGTATCTTGTGCCGGCTCTGGGTTCAATCCCAAGCACTACAAATAATAATAATATTAATGTAATGATAATATTTTATTTCTGAAAAGCAATAAAGAAATCAACAGTGGTTAAGACTAAAGATTATGAACTAGATTACGTTCATAATTGACAACATTTGTTCAACTCTTGTGGGCTGCAACCAAGTCAAGATGGCGCCAGGCAGTTTGCCAGGAGGAGTGGTTTGTAAGGCAACGCCACTGAGCCATTAAGATGATGGAGATTCCTTATTGGCTGATTGCTGTATCTAGATGATGCTAATTGAGTCAAGCTGTGTGTAATCAGTTAGGTATATATACCTCTGCTGTCCTGCAATAAAGCAGCTCTCACTACCTTGAGTGCCCACTCAGTTCCCACTGAGTTCCCCCGCAATAAAGCAGCTCCCACTTCGACCTTCAAGTTGCTTATCACCTCCCGGTTATTTTGCCCAGCCAGACTGCAGCATTCAACTACATTTGATAAATTCAAATAAAACTCACAAAATAATTAGTGATGAGTATCACAATCCAAAATCTTTAAATTTGTGGTATTAATATGTTTTTTCTCCATCTCACACTTTTATTGGTGTATAATAATGATACAGAATACTGGGTTTCATTGTGGCATACTTATACTACCTCCCCTTGTTCTCCCTTCCTCTCTACACTCAGATCCCTCCTTCTTCTACCCTGATGGTCTTTTTTTGTTTTGTTTTGTTTTGTTTTGGTCAGAGTCCCTTTTTTCTATCTTCTACATATGAAAAACAATAACATAGAAACCTTGATTTTCTGAGTCTAGCTTTTTCCACACAAGGAGCTATTCTACAATTTCATCCATTTTCCAGCAAATGACATTTCATTCTTTTTTATGTCTGAGTAAACTTTCATTTTGAATGTATACCTCATTATCTTTATGTATTCATTTCTCTAAAGACAATGACTTGGTTATTGAGAATCATGCTGCTGTAAAACTGACCTTTTGTAAGAATTATTGGTGGGGTAGTATCATTGTGACATGGTGGTTCCATTCCAAGCCTGCTGTGGAATTTACATACTGATTTCCATAAGGGCCTCTACTAATTTCCATTTCCAACAACAGTGTATGAGTTCCTTTTCCCCTGCATCTTCCCCAACATTAAATATTATTTGTATCCTAACTGCAGTGAGATAAAATCTCAGTGTAATTTTGATTTTAATTTACCTAATGACTAAAGATGTGTGCCTTTTTTTTTTTAACAAAGTCATTGTTCATCTTCACTCCTTTTGAGAAGTTTCTGTTCATTTTATTTGCTGATTTACTAAATAGATTCTTTGGGGTTTTTTTTAATGTTATGTTTTTTAAGTTCTTTATGTATTTTAAGTATTCATCATTGGCCAGAAGAGAACATAGCAAAGATTTTCTCCCATTCTATAGATTCTCTTATCACACTGTTAATTGTTTCCTTTGTTGTATAGAAGCTTCTTAGATTGAGGCTAATCCCTTTCATTGATCATTGATATCATTTCCTAAATTGTAGGCTTTTGAGGTATTCATTGTCTAAGCCTGTATTTTGGAATATTTTCTGTATGTTCTCTTCCAGCAGTTACAAGTTTTCTGGTCTGATTTATACATTGTTAATCCGTTTTGAGTTTTGTGCTTGGTGAGAAATAAAAATCTACTTAAAATCTCTTTTTTATGGATATCCAGTTTTCTGATCACCATGGGTTATAGAGGCTGGCATTTCTCAGATGTAAGTTTGGGGCCCTTTTGTCAAGGAGTAGGACTGTTTGATATGTAGGTTTGTCTCTTTGTCTTCTATTCTATTCAATTGATCTGTATGTCTAGTTTTATGCCACTACTAAGTTGTTTATGCTACTATGACTCTGTAGTATAATTTGAAATTGTGTACTCTGATGCCTCCAGCCTTTTTTGGTTCAGAATTGCTTTCAATATTCTTGTTCTTTTGTTCTACCATTTACATTTTAGAATTGCTTTTGCTACTTCTGGGGAAGTAACTTTGATATTTTAATGGAAACTATTTAATCTGTAGATCTTATTAGTAGTATGACCATCATAACAATGTTAATTTTACCTATCCAGGAATATAGGAGATATTCAAATCTTCAAATGTCTTTTTTTAAAAATTTCACTTTCAGTGTTCTGTAATTCCCTTGTATAATCCTTTCACCTCTTTGTTTAAATTTATTCTTAGGTACTTAATTTTATTTTGAAGCTATTGTAAATGGAACCATTCTCAGCATATTTATTATTGCTGTATAGAAAAGCTATTCATTTTTGTATGTTACTTTTGTACCTACTACTTTGATGAACTTGTTTGTCAGCTCTGGAATAATCTGGCAGAGTTTTAGGATCTTAAATATAGGAACATAGCATCTGCAAACAGGAAAATTTGACTTCTTTCATTTTTATTTAGATCCCTTTTAATCTTCTCTTGACTAGTAGCCTGTCTCAGGGACTATATTGAATGGGAGTGGTGGTAGTGGATGTCCTTGTTTTCCTGATTTAAGAGAAAACGCTTTCACAATTTCCTCATTCAGTACAATGTTGACTTTGAGTTTGTCAGACACAGCCTTTATGATCTTAAAGTATACCTGGTTTTTTTCACTAAAAATGTTTTTATTTTATGTACAAATAATGGGCAGATGTTATACCCATAAATTCTATATTCCATAACAATCAAGAACCTGTTTTTAAAAAGAAAGAAAGAAAACTCCGCAACAAATTTTAAGACACTAGGATTTCTTTGCTTCTAGATCGGGGGAGGAGAGAGGGGGCTTGCTCTAACAGGAATCACAAAGTAGAACTGAGTATTCTCTAAAGCAGAAATAATATGGTGCCATTTCAAGTAAAGATTAGTCAGCTCTCCTCACAAACACTCATAACTACCTGCTAAGAACAGGTAAACCAGGTCAAAACAGCTTAGCATAACTAGGCTTCATGGTATTAGGCCATTATGCTCCTTTAGGCTAATAAATCAAAACAGAAAATACTAAAATAAAAATAAATGATTTTGAGATTGTCATACAAATTGTTAGTTCCTTGTTGTATCCTCCCTTCTATAACATAATAAAGGTAACATTTTACTGCAAAGAAAGAAAATTTGATTATATCTATCACTGGCCATGAATTTTTATAATTACTTATTACATAAATGCTGCCTAGTGCCATTATCCAAAAGGCATGACCATTCTGCCCACAATCCACTTGTGCATTTATAAACAGAATTTTCATGATTTACATAAGCATGTCTATCAATGAAGACATTACAATGAGGTGCAATCTAACATCCAAAATCTGATGCTTTGCAGACAGCAATAGTATTTGTAATCACCTTTCACTTCAGTGACCTTATATAAAAATTAATAATTTAGAATTAAGGAGATTTTCAAATGTACACATAGAAATGGTTACAGAGTCAGATTTTTAAGAAACATCCTCCATGTCCACATCCTGTTGTAACTGCTGTACCATTTTTTCTTCCAGCTGCTTCCCTTTGCCTGCAAGAGGGGCTCGGACAAGATGAATGTTTTGCTTGACTTCTTTAATGTCCTGAACTTTCTGTAGCTCTTTATTTCTCTTCAATCTGTTCATTATAAATTTAGCTTGGCGTTTCTGTTTGATCTCTTCAACTCTCTTCATTGCATCAATAGTTTTATTCCATAGTTCTCGCTGGTATTTGACAGATTCATTTCTAGGTTTTTCAGATTCAAACGAGTTATCCACTGTAAGCTCTGTGCCAGCTGCTTTCCAGAATGCTTTAGTCCACCTGACCTTGCGAGGGTTACGCTTCTTTTTAAAGTTCTTATGACATTTGTATTTACAGAATCTGAATACCTTGCAGTCATTGTGGACCAACATCATGCCATGGCCGGGGTAGATGGGCCCTGAACAGAAATAACACTTCTCCATACGCAGGTTGAGGCCTCGTGGGTCCCCACCAATCCAGCGGCGAGCTCTTAAAGTAGACCTGTTTTATCCCTACTTTCTTCAGGATTTTTTTAACCATAAACAAGTACTGAATTTTGTCAACGCATTTTTCTGCATCTATTGAGATGATCATGTGATTTTTGATCTTGAGTTTCTTTGTATGGTATCTAAATCTTTTGGTTTTCATGTTAAATATCATTTCATCCCCAGAATAAAATCAACATGGCATGATACACAATTATTAATCTGTTGTTGAACTCAACTTGCCACTACTTCACTACGTATTTTTGCATCTAAATGCATCAAGTGTATTGTTCCGTAGTTTTCTTTCTTGAAGTGTCCTCATTTGGTTCAGATTTTGGAGTTACACTGGAAAAAGTATGAAAGTATTTCCACACTTACAGGGAATAATGTGTGAAGCATTAGGTTAGATCTTCTCTAAAGGTCAAGTAGAACACAGCTGGGAATCCATCTGTTCAAAGGCTTTTCTTTTCTTTATTTCCATTTTTATTGAATTTTTTAAGTTATACATAACGTTAAGATTCATTTTGACACAATTATAAAAGCATAGAACATAATTTGCTCTAATTCATCCCCAGTACTTCCCTTTTTTGTTCCTTCCTTCCTTTCCCCGTTCCCTCCCCTCTATTCTACTCATATTTCTGCTATTTACTTACATGCTTTTTAAAAAAAAATTTGGCCCCCGGGAAAAAAAAAAAAGGGGGAAAATAACGGGGCAAAATCAATGAAGGAAAAAAGAAACAAGGCAAAAGCAACCCACTCTTCTTCCCTTATCCTGTCCCTCCTCCCTTCCCTTCTTTCCCTTTCATCTTTCTTCTATTTTTCATTCACACTCCCCCTTCACTTATTTTGGATTATCTTTCATATATCAGAGAAAATATTTGACCTTTCACTTTCTGGGTCTGGCTTATTTTACTTAGCAGCAGAGTTTTCAGTTATTGGCAAATGCCATAATTTCATTCTTCTTTATGGCTGAGAAATACTCGATTGTGTATATATATCACATTTTATTTATCTACTCATCTGTTGAAGGATATGTAGATTGGTTAAAATAGCTTGACTATTATAAATTGAGCTGCCATAAACATTGATGTGGCTGTTTTCCTATAGTATGTTGATTTTAGATTAGTTAAAAATATATTAAAGAGTGGGAGAACTAAGAGAGATAGATAATAAGGTAGTTCCATTATTAGTTTGAGGGAATTATCTAAACTGCTTTTCAGAGTGGTTGTACTAATTTGCAGTCCCACCAACAATGTATAAGTGTACATTTCTGCCCCCCATATCCTCACCAATACCAATACTTATATTCTTTATAATTACCATTTTGACTGGAGTGAAATGAAATCTTTATGTAGTTCAGGTTTGTATTTCCAAAATTGCAAGAGCTGCTGAACATTTATGCATATATTTGTGGACATTTGCATTTCTTCTTTTGGGAAGTGTCTCTTTAGGTTTTCTTTTTTTTTTTTTTTGCCTATTTGTTAATTGGGTGGTAGCAAATATCTTCACCCATTCTGTTGGCTCTCTCTTCATGTTCTTGTTTCCTTTGTTGTACAGAAGCTCTTTAATTTGATGGCATCCCACTAATTGACAGTTTTCTTTTATCGCTTGCACTTTAGGAGTCTTGTTTGCAAAGTCAGTTCCTGTGCCTACATGTTGAAGGGTTGGACCTACATTTTCTTTCTACCATTTGCAGAGTTTCTGGTCAAATTCCTAGGTGTCTGATCCTCTGTGGATTGACTTTTGTGCAGGGTGAGAGACAGGGGTCAAGTTTCATTCTTCTACATATGTATATCCAGTTTTCCCAGTACCATTTGTTTAAAAGATTATCATTTTCAAGTTGTTTTTGGCACCTTTGTCTAGTACCAAATACCTCTATTTGTGTGAATTTGTCTCTGAGTCTTCTATTCTATTCCATTCGTCCTCATATCTGTTTTGATGCCAGTACCATGCTGGTTTGGTTACTATACCTCTGTAGTATAATTTGAGGTCTAGTTGATTAGTATTGCTTTGGCTATTCTGGATTTTATATTTTTCCAAATAAAATTTTAGAACTGATTTTACTAGTTCTGTGAAGAATGGCATTGCTATTTTATGGGAATTGCATTCAATCTCTTAATTCTTTTGGTGGTAAAACCATTCGGACAATATTAATTCTGCCTGTCCAAGAACATGAGAGGTCTTTTTCATCTTCTAAGCTCTTCAATTTCTTTCTTCAATATTCTGTACTTTTTGTTACAGACTTCCTTCACTTTTAAGGCTTTTCTTTTGGAAGGCTTTTTATTAGTGTTGAAATCACATTGCTTAGAGCATATGTACCTTATTGGTCTTGAGTATTAAAAGTTAAATATATCAAGAATAGGACAAAAGAATAGAAAGCAAAATAGGAAAATAAGAGAAACTGAAGGGATTCCTCATCTGCCACTCAGGAAACTCAAACAAAAAGTCTCTTCAAGCTGTCAGCACTGCCCCATTCCACGTAAAATGTTGCTGGGGCATGCCACGGCTTTCCCCCATTAGAGTGCAACAGGACTTTCTCCAGATCCAGCTCAGCTAATCTTTTCTGAACTTAGTTTCTGCTCAGATTGAAAATTTGTTGGACACATGTTTTTCTCATATCCAGTGGGAGAATGCCTTTTGGCTCATTGGAGGAGAGACTCCTCTCTCACCTTTAGCCACAGTATGTCCAAAGATACAAATGTCTATCACTTTTATTAATTCTCTTGACATTCCAGAAACTGATATTCTTGGTTTTCACTTCTTCACCAGCTCACTGAATTACCTACTTGAATTTTTTCAGTTTTCTTTCCTCAGTTTGTCGCTCCAAAACTGCTCTTTTAATTTACTCTTTGGAAGCTCCCATAATACTCTGAGTTTTTCTGATCTGCCCTCTTTCCCTTGAGGGATAGCTCTTGAAAATTTTGACCATCCATCCTATTCAACATAGCATTGGAGAACCTCTACACAAGTGTTTTAACCAAATGACAGCTTTTGACATCATGTGGTCAGAGTATACCTCTAATGTCTGAGTTGAACTCAGTCTGTATTTGTAAGATTTTTGTCACCATGACAAGTACCTGAGAGAATGAACTTAAAGGAGAAGTGATTTCACTAAGCATCATGTTTTCAGAGGTTTCAGTCCATAATCATCTGGCTGTATAGCTTTGGGCCTAATTTTCTTATCTCCCATTTAGTTTATATTTGATGTATACTTCTCATCTACCTCCTCCTACTAATGCTACAATATGCCTAAGTAATGAAACCATGTTTTTAAAAATATCTAGTTCTTGTGTTCTTCAGTTTTTCTCTTCCTTCTCACATGCTCTGGTATTTTCATCTATTATTGCATGCTACTTTCTCTTTTTGGTGTAATAAATGTATTGAATGAAACCAAGAGTGAGTGAGCTATGTTCATGTTGAATTGTGTGTGGGGTGGGGAATAAGCATAAGTAATGAACTGTAGGATCACTTAGATTAGCATTAAACTAAAGAAGTGTCCCCCCAGGTTTCAAGAAACCTTTATTTCTAATGCATGGGGAACCCTCAAATACAGAGTAAAGATGGAAGAGAGGAAGAAAATGTTGAAATTTATGAAACTCTCAAATTAAGAATAAATCTTTGGCTTGTCAAAGTCATTGCAAAAATCAAACTCATTACAGCATGATGTCTGTGATGAATTACCAAAAACAGTTTTCAATTTATCTTCACAGCGTTTCACACAATTAGACTCTGCACTCGATGGCATGAAATCTACAGAAGAGAAAAGCAGAAATGAGATGCCATTTGGATAACAACAATATAGGTCTCAAATACAAGTATGGGTAACCAAGAATGAATTAAATGAAAGAATGTTTCTTCTGAACTAGTTATGGGTCACCTATGGGCAGTTTGGCCACATGGTCCAAAGACATAGCTAGCAAAGTTCCTTTTTCTAGAGTGTTTCCTGCAGGGAAAATATGCACTTCATGGTGAACTTCACATTGTAGATGTTGAAGAACACAGCAACCCTCCCTTCACAGGTTGTCAGGTACAAAAATCTTATTTAAAGGAAGCTGGGTCCAAGGCTCTGTAGTGAGTACCATGGAAGAGCATTGAGCTAGTTATAGACAGGTGACAAGGAATGACAGGCAATTAAAATGCATCATGACAAATATTATATGGTAGATAGATAAGGCAGGGAGACTCTGGAAAAACAGAAGGAGTCATGTGAAAAATGAAAATAATCATAAAGCCTTCCAGAGCAGGGGTCTCTGAACTGAGACAGAAGTTTGATCAGGATTACACACGAGTAGCAGGATCCAGCAAACAGATTTGGGAAATGGCTAATTTAGGGATCCAAGGATTTAGGGCCTTTGAATCCTGAACAGCAGAGAGGTTAGAGTTCAGAAGTATCAGAAAAAGGTTAGCAAAATGTTGGGGGAACAGTCATACTCCACTCAATCTTCCTTGAATTTTATCATTCTACAAGAGAGAAGACACTTAGCTCAGAGCATCACACCTGGACCTGAATCAGCTTTCTTCATATGGATGCCATGTCCTAAAGGAAAGTGGTTTGAGACCTGAAGGAGAAAAGAAATTTCCACAGCTCTCACTAGATTACTGAATATACTTACAACTGTATGGAAAACGCCAGTGTCTCCGGATCATACATGATCCACCTTCTGGAGCTCGGCATCTCTCCAACTTATGCTCACAGAAATTTTCTTTGAATTTTCTACATCGCTGACAAAGGAGAGGTATGGCTGCAAGAAGAAAAACTGTTCTCAGCGGGCAGGGGAAGAATCATTGTCACAGAACAAAGAGAGCAAAGGTCAGCCAACTCCCTGATAGCTTGACTATACCAAGCTATTTCCCTTAGGGATATGTTCTAGGAAACATGTTTTAATACCACGGACAAAGCAGGAGCATGTGAGGAGACAATCTAACATATCCATACAGTAGACAAGACAGCAGAAGACTGTCAGAAAGGGAGAATGATCACTCTCCAGAGAACCTTACTGCTCATGATTCATTTTCTAGCTTACCATAGTGATCGCATACAGGAGAGTGAGCACAGAGCACTTGCTGTGTTCTCAGAGCCTGGGCTAAAGTTCCAGGTCTGTGAACAAGATGAATATTTCTGACTGGGAATCCTTGATTCCTCACTCCACAGATAAACAATTGTTTAGGAAGTATTTAAAGTACAGAGATCATGTTGAGTTTTAGGTGGTAGACAGGATGAGGGAAAGACCCAGGAAAGTAAGAAGATGAAAGAAGTCAGGTGGTCCGAGATGGAGCCTACTACTCAGCATGTTCCTTGGAAGCCAGATTGGAACTCACAGAAGCTTAAAATAATTGGAGAAATCAAGCACAGCTTAAATATATGCCAGTGTTAAGCCCAGGCTTGTACCTTAACCATGGTTAAATAACCAAACAAGGATTTACCAATTCTTATGCAGAGCAGAAAAAGACTCAGCTTAAGTAAGTTTTTCATTTTTTTCTTGGCTGACTCTTGAAATTGATTGTCTTAGAGTCCAGGGATCACTTGAGCTGGATGATGGTGTAACACTATTTGCTAAGATCAGCCCCCTAGTCATTTTATAATGCAATCTGAAGAGGACATAAGTCAGTGGGTGTAAGAGAGGCTGTAAACAGATTCCAATCTAAGCCCTTCCCTCAATGGCAATACACCAAATCTATTGTCCATGCCCTTTTTCTTTCCTCATTCCTCCCCCAGGATTTCTTTCTCTATGTTATTCCAACTACAAATAACCTGAGGGCAATCTCACCATCAGAAGTTTTGGTTCACAGCACAGTAGATGCTTATCTCACTGGAGCAGGCTACATCCAGTGTATAGAAGATAAACATTAAATAACCTTCTTTCAACCAGAAACCAAAGTGACTGCAAAACAGACAGAGAGAGAGAGAGAGAGAGAGAGAGAGAGAGAGAGAGAGAGAGAGAGAGAGATATGACTCAGAATCCAGTGTAAGCACCAGGCCCTCCATACAGATGCAGGCAGAGCCACAAGTGCCTGATTTAGTGAGGAGGAGCTGAGACTTGAAGATGGTCAGTTTAAACAATGGTCTGTATAATTCCACAGCAGAGTTCATGGGAACCCAAGTGGGCATGGAGATTACACCAAGTATGCATATGATGCCCTTGAAGCACACAGAATATACGGCTCCCAATGTGTGCCCCTAGCTACTTGAGTCTGTGGCATTCCACAATCATATTTTTTCAACTTGTGAACATGGCTATTTGGAAAGAGATTCTTGTTTCTCCTCCCAGCTACTCTCAGATTCACTCTCAAACACTTAAAGACATGTCTCTATCCCTGCCCTCCCTAACTCTATTAGGAGAATGAGGGCCTGTGTTGACCACCAATGTGACCAGCCATGAAGTAGGTTTCACAGTGGGTGCTGCCTTTGTCCCTAAGACTGAGGAGAGCCTCTGGTTTCCCCATTCACCTTTGCTCCCTGGCTCTGTCAAACCTTGCAGTGCTTTGTCTCATCTGTCAGTCCTGTTGTCTTATCTGTGCTGATCACTCAGCTGAGAAATACCTGGTATCCTAACTCATACTGCTTCACCAGATACCCTCGGAAGACTCCACCAGATTAACCAGGCCTCTGGGTTCAGTTAACTCATTGCTCATACAATGAGCACCAAACTGGATATCTATGATGGTAGAAATGGGGACTAGCTAATGGTCCCAACGTCATGAATGCTTCTCAGCGAATCCGATCAATCACCAAATACTACTGAGTCTCTAGCGCATCGACAACAGAACCTGAATCTTATGACCCAGGAACGGCAGAGAGTTGCCAGAGAGAGAAAAGGGTTAATCTGCTTGAGTGGTTTATGAGTTTGTTACATAAAGTTTCCTAAGAGCATCTGGTAAAGCTGCAGAATGAGTGAGGCTACCTAGTTCTTCTCAGATGAGTGATCAGCATAGACAAGACATAACAAATGATGAATAAGACCAAGCCCACAAAGTCTGACAAAGCCAGGGAACAAAGGTGAATGAGGAAACCAGAGGTTCTCCTCCATCTTAGAAACGAAGGGTATCACCTCATTAAAATATAAAGCATTTACATGAAATTCCTGCATGGGGTTCTTAATATAAACAGAAACAAAGTTATATGAACATACTTGAAGAAAATTCTTATGCTTCTATTAGGAAATGATATGAAAGTAATCAGAGAAAAGAAGCTTCCGGTTTTAAAATGCATATAAAAGGATGAGAAGACAATTAGTGATCATTCCCCTTTCTTTTTAAATGCTTCTTTCCTTCCTCTGTTCATTCATAAATACATGGATTTATGATTTTGTGAGAAATTAAATACAAACACATAAAAACAGTTACTCAAAAATTATCTCCCTTCCCTCTTCCCCCCATATTTCTCCTTCTGTCTCTCTAAGAAGCCACTAGCAGAATCCTCCACTAACTTCCTGAAAGTGTGCAGTGAAGCTGATTAAGAGGAGGACAGCCAAGTAGAAGCCTTAAGAACAGCTTCTGTCGTGAACAACCGTGAACCATGCAAAGTCCCTAAAGGCATTCAGAGATTAGTGCCACTATTGTGAACTTGAAATATGCAAGTGTGGTGATTCCAACCACAGCCACATTCAGCTTATGGATATGGCCTGGGTAGACGTTGATGAATTCCAGAGGAGAGTAGGGATATCATGAGTGTAACAGCGATGAAGCCAAGGGTAGCTACATTCTCCCACAAAAGTATTTCTTTGCTTAAGCAAATTAACTCCTTTCCTGGAACCTGGTATAAAAACTGTTGATTTGACAAGTGTCTTTTTCTTCATCCCTGCCCATAAAGCCCACCAATAACAATTTTCTTTTAGCTGATGATTTTCTTCAGTGTACTTCAGTGTCATACATCAAGGTATATCCAGCTTTATGTTAGACATTTGGCTTACAGGGATCTTCTTCCTCCTTTCCTATCACAAGATATAATCTAGGTCTGAATATTGATATCATTACATTGATGAAACACAGTAGGCAAGAAGTACCTACGGCTCCACACTTACTGATAAGACACTTCTTTTACATCAGAGGGTAGGAAATGAAAATCTAAAATTTAGCCACCTCTACTTCAGGAAAACATACAGCATTTCAGTGGTCTGGAACGGTTTGAGATATCTTTTCTAAAGTGAAGGATAAATTAGATGTGGTCCCTTATAATCAAGAAAGAGACGTGATTCTTCATAGGCCCGGTACAGGACTGTAGCAGAAACTGAGCATTTGAACATGGACCAAGTTCCATGCTACTTAAAGTTGCCTTCTTTAACTGGGTGTTGTCTGATCCACCAAGCCCTAAAGCTCAGTGTATGCAGCAGCACCGCATCACCAAATGGAAACAGTTCATAGCTGGCTCTGAAGATGCAAATGAGTTACATAAAAAGATGGACCATGTTCCTTACTCCTGACACCCTACTTTCTCATTCCCACTCTGCACTTAGGAGTGAGTTTCCCTATTAGCAGTTGAAAAAAAGGTGAGAAGGATTGGGCCCAGTTTCCAGGCAATAAAGGCAATATGTAGGCACCATTCAAAAGTGGACAGATACAACACTGAGACTCCTTGCTGGGATAGCTCTATAGGAAATGGTGAGTGGAAATATCCCTGGTGGGCTGAGCTTTAAGTAATGTATTTTATTGTACACTTGGTTTGAAAATAAAAAGGACTATTGTCAAGCACATAGTGATTCATATATTCAGCCAATAGTTTTTTTCTTTCTGGTTAGGTAGTTGCCAGTGAA